TTTGAAGACAAAGGTATAACTAAACCAAATTATGGTATTTTCAATTGCCTCACATTCATTCACATGCACATAAGCTGGACAATGAACATGGAAGACCAAAGAAGAGTTGATGCCTTTGAATTGTGATGTTGGCAAAGAATACTGCAAACACCACGGACTGCCAGAAGAACTAAGAAATAAATCCTGGAAGAAGTGCAGCATAAATGCTCCTTGGAAGCAATGTGGTCAGATGGTATCAGTCTTTGGAAAAGGTTATCATGCTTGGTAAATTGGAGGGTTAGAGATAAAGGGGAAGACCCTCAATAAGATGGACTGACACAGTAGCTGCGACGACGGGCTCAAGCATAGCAAGTATTGTGAGGATGGCATAGGACAAGGCAGACTTTTGTTTTGTTGAATAAAGGGTTGTGGTAAGTTAGAATCAACTCAATGGCTCCTAATAACAACATAGAGAAAGTAAGCTGTGGCAGAAATTGAGAAGGGGAAAGGGCAAGCAATATGATTTCCCTTTCACTGCCAATAATAAGCAAAGGAATTTTAGTTTTAAGCTGGATCACTGATTTTCACAGAATTTCAGGGAGGTAGGTGTGTGACTGATACAATTCCAAGATTACTATTTGTCTATGATCACAAAAGAGGGTTTGCCCTATCAGTTTGAGCATGTGGTTACTCCAGAAAAGCAGTAAATTCACTTGTTTTATACATTCATGCATACATCAAACCAAACCTAACCATTTCTCATCAATTGTGACTCATGGCTACCACTTATATGTCAGAATAGAACTATGTTCCACAGGATTGTCTTTTTTTAAAATATTATATCTTATCTTCATGTTGTTATATGCAAGTCAGTGAAATTGACTGCATTCTTTGAATTATGCAACCATTCTTCAACATCTATTATTTTGCTATTTTGCATTTCCACCAACTATCAATTCCAATTTCCCTATATCCTCATTAACATTTGTTACTTTTTTTTTTTTTTTTTAAATCTTAGCCATCCTGTTGTTGTTGTTATGTGCCCTCGAGTTGGACCCAACTCATAGCGACCTCTCCTTGGGTTTCCGAGGCAGTATCGCTACGGAAGTAGATTGTCCCATCTTCCTTCCAAGAAGTGGCTGGTGGGTTTGAACCTCCAGCCTTCTGGTTAGTAGTCAAGTGTCTTAGGGAGTGAAATGGTATCTCACTGTCCTTAAGATTTGCATCTCTCTGATGGCTAATGATGTTGAGCTTGAGCGTATTTTCATGTATTTTGTGGCCATTTGAATGCCCTCCTTGTTGAAACATCTATTCAAGTCCTTTGCCCACTTTATGAATGAGCTTTTTGTTGTTGTCAAAGTTGTATATTTTTGTTATTAGATTCTTATCAATCTATGGTTTCCAAAAATATTCTACTAGTCAGTAGCTGTCTTTTTACTTTTTTTTGCAAAGTCTTTTGATGAAGAGAAGTTGTTAATTTTTATATGGTCCCATATACTTACGTTGTCTTTGAATATTTGGCTTTTGTTATTATATCAGATACACCACTGTTAATAGTAAGGCTTGACAGCACTGCCCCTGTAATTTCTTCTAAGAATTTCATGGTGTTAGACTGTACATTTAGTTAATTAGTCCATTTAAAATATTTATGTACAGTATGACACATGGATCCTGTTTCATTTTTATTTATGTGGAAATACAATTTGTTTGTTGGCTTTTCATGTATGTCCTGAATTATAGTAATGAACTTCCTTTCTATTCCAATTTTATTGAGAGTTTTCATCAAGAAAGAATGTTAAATTTTATCAAATGATTTTTCTGCCTCCATACAGATGATCATTATCTTTTCCTTTATTTTACTGATGTAGTGTGATATGTTGATTCATTTTCTTATGCTGAATAATCCCTGTATTCCTGGAATAAATTTCACTTGGTCACATTGTTGTACGTGCTGCTGAACTGTCTCCAACTCATAGTGACCCTATGCACAGCAGAATGAAACACTGCCCCGTCTTGTGCCAGCCTCATGATCCTTGCTATACCTAAGTCCATAGTTGCAGCTACTGTGTCTATCCATCTCATTGAGGGCCTTCCCCTTCTTTGCTGACCCTCCTCTTTACCAAGCATGATATCCTTCTCCAGGAAATGGTTCCTTCTGACAACATGACCAAAGCAGGTGAGATGAAGTCTGGCTAATCTTGCTTCCAAAGAGCATCCTGTCTGTACTTCTTCCAGGACAGATCTGTTAGTCCCTTTAGCATATCATGGTACTCTTAGCATACTTCTCCAACACCACAACCAAAACCATCAACTCTTCTTTGGTTTTCCTTACTCACTGTCCAACTCTCACATGCATAAGAGGCAACTGAAAATACCATGGCTTGGGCTGTTGTTATGTGCCGTTGAGTCGGACCCTATTCGTAGCGACCCCTCCTTGGGTTTCTGAGGTAGTATCATTATGAAAGTAGATTGCCCAACCTTCCTTCTGAGGAGTGGCTAGTGGTTTTGAACTGCCAGCCTTCTGGTTAGCAGTCAAGTGCCTTAGGCACTACGCTACCAGAGCTCCCATGGCTTGGGTTAGGTGCACCTTAGTCTTCAAGGAGACATCTTTGCTCTTCAGCACTTGAAAGGTCTTTTGCAGCAGATTTGCACAATGCAATATGTCATCTGATGTCTTGACTGCTGCTTCCATTGGTGTTGATTGTAGAACCAAGTAATATGAAATCCTTGACAACTTCAATCTTTTCTCCATCCACTGTGAAGCTATTTATTGGACCAGTTGTGAGGATTTTAGTTTTCATTATATTGAAGTGTAATCCATACTATAGGGTGTAGTCTTTAATCTTCATCAGTAAGTGCTTCATGTCATCATCACTTTCAGCAAGTAAAGTTGTGTCATCTGTGTACTGCTGGTTGTTAATGAGTCTTCTCCAATCCTGATGCCATGTTCTTCTTCATATAATCCAGCTTCTTGGATTATTTTCTCAGCATACAGAGTTGAATTAAGTCTAGTCCAAGGATGCAACCTTGATTTACTCCCTTCTTGATTTTGAATCATGCAGTATCCCATTGTGTTCGAATGACACCCTCACAAGTACAATCAAGTGTTCTGGAATTCACATTCTTCTCAATGTTATCCATAATTTGTTATAATCCTCACAATTGAATGCTTTTGGATATTCAATAAAACATGAGTAAACAGCTTTCTGGAATTCTTTGCTTTCAGCTAAGACCCACCTGACATCACATCCTTTTCTGAATCCAGCTTGCATTTCTGGAAGCTCTCTGTCAATATACTGCTGCAACCATTTTTGAATCATCTTCAGGAGGATTTTACTTGCAGTCATGTTGTATGACTATTTTAATATGTTATTGTAGACTGTTGTATGACTATTTTAATATGTTATTGCATTCTGTTTCCTAGTATCTTGTGAAGATTTCCTCATTTATATTCATAAGGGATACAGCCTTATAGTTTTCTTTTCTTGTTGCATCTTTGTTTGGTTTCAGTATCAGGGTCATGTTCGTTCCTAATTTGGGGAGTATTTAGGGAGTTCGTTCCCTCCTTGTCTGTCTTTCGACAGAACTGATGTCTGTTCTCCTCAGTGGTAGATTTCTCCAGTGAAGCCATCTGGTCCAGGATTTTTTGTGTTGGGAAGTATCTGACGCTGATTTAATGGGTCTGCTGAGACTTACTATTTCCTCTTGAGTTCAGTTTAGGTAGGTTGTATGCCACTAAGAATTTGTCCATTTCAACTAGATGATCCAGTTTGTTGCCTTACAATTGTTCTTAATATTCTGTCATATTTCTCTTTATTTCTATCAAGTCAGTTGTAATAACTCCTCTTTCAATTTTTATTTTGGTTATTTTCATGTTTTCTCTTTGTCAGTCTAGCTAAAGTTTTGTCAATTTTATCAATCTTTTCAAAGAACCAACTTCTGGCTTTGTTGATTCTACTGTTTTTCTGTTTTCTATTTAATTTGTTCTGATTTTTGCTATTTCATTTCTTCTCCCTTTGCATAATTTCAATATTTTTAAATTTATTAAGACTCACTTTGTGACCTAACATGTGGTCTAGCCTACAGAATGATCCATATGCACTGGAAAAGAATATATATTGTATTGTTGTTGGGTAGAGTGTTCTATGTATGTCTGTTAAGTCTAGCTGGTTTATAGTGTAATTTTTTCCATCCTTTCACTTTCAACTTATTGATGTCTCAGATGTGCCTCTTATAAACAGCATTTCATTTGATTCTGGTGTTTTTTTTAAAATCTGTTCTGCCACTTTCTACCAATTAACTGGAGTACTCAGTACATTTACATTCACTGTAATTATTGATAAGAAGTGATTTACTTCTGCTCTTTTGTTATCTGCTTTTTTTGTGTGCTTTATGCCTTCTTTGTCCTTTACTACTCCTTGCTTTTGTGTTTTGTTGTTTTACTGTAGTGAGTCAATTTGGTTTGCTCCTTCTTTCCTTGTGTGAATGTTTTTCAGATTTTTTTTAGTGATTACCATAAATGTTACACCTAACAGCTTGTTTTACAAGGTTTTCAATGCTAATATTTTGGCAGTAGATCACCAGGCCTTTGTTGGAGGTACCTCTGGGTGGATTTAAATTGTCAACCTTTCAATTAGCAGCTGAGTATTTAACTATTTATGTCATCCAGGGACATGCATACATACATCTTATTGTTTGCTGCTGTCAAGTTGATTTTGACTCATGGTGACTATAAATGCAGAGTAGAACTGCTCCATAGGGTTTTCAAGGCTCTGATCATTTGGAAGCAGATCACCAGGCCTGTCTTCTATGGAGCTTCTGAGTGGGTTCAAACCACCAACCTTTAGGCTAGGAAGTGAGCATTTAACTGTTTGTGCCAATTAAGCGCTCATAGATGCACATATGAAATTGCTAATATCTCTCTCTCTCTCTATATATATATATATATCTGTATCTATCTATCTATATGTATGAAAATATGTAGAACTATATTTGTAAAACTTTTTCTAGTCATAACATACCCTGATTATGTATTGGCAACAGCTGTGATGGGGGTGGAGGCTGTGGTAATGGAGTTGGCTGAGTTGTTGCAGGACTAAGTACAGCAGTAAATAAGTCTTCAACATCCTTTCCTCCAAGCTCTATGAGATAAAATAGGAATAGCAACAAGATTAAAAGACTACTGAGAATACAGTATAGGGAATGTCATTTCACAAACTAAAAATTCAGAATAAGCATACCTGGAATTTTATATAACTTCCCAAGAATTGCTCCTAGAAAAAAAATTAGAAAACAAATATTAACAACTACCATTTAAATATAATATGTAAAACAGCATTTAATTGATAAGAAATTTTAACAATAGAAGGTAAATTATAAATAAGCATGCAGAAATCTTTGAAAATCATATTTACTCATGTGTTTTAGAAAGCCTAGATTGTAGGGCAAATATTTTACCATCTGTGACCATTTTGTCTAATTCAGGACTGAGGATTCCATCTAGTTGCTCTTCACTTAATGGTCGTGAACTCTGATTGACACTTGGCTGAGGCACAGAGGAAGAATCATCATCGACGTGACCAATATCTATTCCAGCTGAAGGAGTGAGGTAAATAGATTAAAAAGTGAACTCAGAATACTCAAATCACAAGACATAAAACTGTTTGCCACCATTAGTTAATATACACAATATGATTAAAAAGAGTAATGGAAAGTACTTCTGAATTAATCAAAATTTATATATCACAATGGATAACTATCAGTAAAACTTTGGTACAATAATGTATCTGTAAATATAGATGCTACTTAGTTATATTTTAATCAAAGTAAATATATTTCCTGAGTAACACAAGAATACATGTGATTTTAAATTACTGCTAATTTCCACAAAAGATGAAAGCCACTCTACTACTAAGATAAGAATCCATAAGAAGTCAATATACAAATATTTGCTGTAATTTGGAAAACAGTGATATGAAATATACAGTTCAAGCATCCATAAGCAATATGTGAAACCAGAGATGTTTCACATAAATTAATGAAAAGCTCTAAAAGTCTTAATATTTAATAAGCATTATACTTTGTAAACAATTTTATTTATTGAAATATTTAAAAAATATCCTGTAGTCACAATACAAGATACAGATTAGGTTCATAACATTACAACATGCTTTATCTCATAAATTTGTAGTTCAGGTAAGAGTCACACATAAAAGTGGTTTATGGTCTATTCTTTTTCAAGCTTTCTGAATATTACTACTATTAAAAAAGTAAAAATTCAGTCTGCTCTTACTTGAGCTCATATTAGGAAAAAATGCAGTAACATTTTGGTAATATTATAAATTACAAATTAGACAGAACCAATCATTAAAAATAAATAAGTAAATGTAACTATGTAGAAAGTCATCCAAAGCACAGTACAGCTGTACTATGCTTTAGCCACACACAAAATGGGAAAAGCAAAGTATGGATTAGTGACAAAACAGCACTACTAACATATATGCATGCACCTACAGGCTGCTTCAGCAGAAATCACTATAGAAAAGAAGACTACTTCTAGTCAGCGGCCATCCATTGCTCAATTTCTTACCAAATGGAAAAGGTGAGCTCTCAACCTGGAAAGTGCATAAATCAAGACCTATAAGACCCAAACCAAATAAAATGGATGATTACCACAGGAGCGGAAAGTGAGGGGAAATGCAAACAAAAGAAGAATCAAGATAGAGCAAGAATATAAGGCTATATGCCTTAACTATGATGCATTCAGAAAGACAACAGAAATCAACTAATTTGGTATTTCCCCCTTCAAAAGCAAGAAAGTCGAGGCAGATAAAATAAAGTATTGAGTTTTCTGATGAAGTGAAAACACTTCAGTAATTCAGAAAGAGACAAACTAAATTATTTCTACACACCTCTAATTCACAATATAAAACAAATAATACTCATACATACCTGAATGATCAACTGATTTTGCTAGGTCATCTGAAATTATTCCAAGGATGTCATCATCTGTGTTTAATACTTCTGAAAGATCAGCTAATGGGTCATCAGTAGTACCTATATACAGTAAGTATATTTTTAAATTTTATAGTAATATATATAGTAAGAAAATTAAAAAAACTATTTGCTTAAATATTAAGTTCCAAAAGACCCTCACTCAACCTTTTACTAATATGGTAACAGACACTGAGGTAGTGCCAGAATCATGAAATCTTAATTATAAAATCAGAACTTTTCCATAGCAAAAGTACTCCAATGTTTTGAATACAAAAAGTTATTAAAAATTAAGATGATTTCTGTTTTGTGAATAATGCATATAAAGAATAAAATCTGAAAAAAAGATTTGTAAGCAATATAAGTGAGGTTGATGTCAGGAACATAGCAAAAAAAAATTTATTAAGAAAGTAGCACCTCTAAAAATGACAAAACAAAACAAAAAGCAAAACCCTCATGACAACACAGTAAACCAAAAAAAAAAACAAACCCACTGCCATCGAGTTGATTCCAACTTATAGCAACCCCCATTGGGTTTCCGAGGTGGTAAATCTTAATAGAAATGGATTGCCCCATATTCCTTCTGCAGAGCAGCTGGTGGGTTTGAACTATCAAGCTTCTGGTTAGCAGTCAAATGTCTTAGGCACTGTGCCAACAGAGCACCTTCAATGACACAGTAGGATAAGGTAAATAAAATATGAACAACCACCCCATTATTTAGAAACCCATTGTAAAGTATAAGCCAGGTATCATGTAGTTAGATGACTAATTCCAGCACTGCTCTTCATATTCATTACTCATTTATTTATTTATTTTAAAAATTTGAGCACTATGGTACAGTGAATTACTTAACATGGTTCTTCTAGCCATGGGCTTTGTGACTCCTACCAGATGACTGAGTAGAACTGCAAATGTGAGGTACTTGTGGCCCACCAAAGGGATTGGATATTGTATTAATAATGTAAATAAGGTACATGGATGGAATGCTGTGTGGGTGGAATCATGCAAAAAGATATACAGAACCCTAATGTGGGGAGTGGCAAGTTTTGCCATCTTGCTAGGCTTAAAATGAGCGATCCCAAAGGTGGTGGGTGTGGTGGTGGGGGAATCTCATTACCATCAAGAAAGAAGAGCCAAAAATGGTGTGTATCCTTGACTGAAATCCATGCACTGAGATGGTGAAAAGCAATGGCAGAGAAACAGCGGCAGCAGAACCAAGAGACCAGTACAAGACAGAGCAGTGGCTTCCTGGCTCATGAAAGAAAACAGCTAAGTGCTTTCAGGGAGGAGTATTGCTGGTGGAGCAGGGTGTCTCTCTGGGCACCTACTTGCAGAGATAAAAAAAACTTGTAATACTTGCCTGAGCCAGGCAGAGGCCAAGGGGTCACAGTTCTGAGAGGCCATGTCCAGAGACAAGTATACCTGCAGCATGGCTGAGAAAAGGCTATCTTGATTGAAGATACCCTTACTCAGGATCTTGAATTATAATCTGTTACTTCCCTAATACACCCTACAATCATATTGTCTGTGAGTTCTGTGTGGCCACTGCAAAGAATTATCAAACCCAGGAGAGAAATAAAAAATACTGCTGGGTGGACGGTTCGTGTCAGAACTGGTAAAATGGTTGGAGAGTGGCAGCATGTCTGACCTCTGCATCACAGGAATCAATAGTGCTATCGATGCTGATGGTGATCCTTCTCCTCCCCTTTGTGTAGTTAGAGGAGGTCAGGTAATACTGGCCCCATGCCCTTTTTATAAGCACCCACGGAGCTATGACTAAGGTTTACGTATCAGGCAGTGAATATACAGAAATGACTAAAACAAGTGCTTGCCTGCACAGAGCTTACTTACACACTAGAAATTAGGAATTAAGTCAATGATATCAGAAAAGTATTAGAAAATAAGAAAGAATATTAAGAATAAGAATAAGCTATGGGGATACTGTATGATAGGTAAGATAATGAGGGAAAATCTTTTTAAGGAGATGACTGAGAATAAATATAAATGAAATGAGAGAATAAGACGCACAGAGATGGAGAGAACACTCTAGGCCAAGGCAATAGCAAGTATATAAAGTCCAGGGGCAAGAAGGGTTTTGCCAACACAGAAGGCCAGTGTGGTGCAGTAATAAACGAGGAAAATGGCAGGAAATAAAACACAGACCATGGTGAATCTATGGCCTTTATTCTAAAGCGTAATTGGAAGCCACTGGGAGGTTACAGTCTGGGAGATTGTATAACTGACATTTTAGAGGTCAACGCAGTGCTGTCATGTGTAGAATACACCTAGCAGCGTGGGGGGGGGGGAGTAGGCATGACTGCAGGCCTGGAGACACTTAGGAGGCTGCTATTGCAGTCTAAGGGACTGGGAATGGCTTCTTGTACATGGTGCAGGGAAAGAGAATGTAAAAGTGATGACTTCATAATATATTCTGAAGGTAGAGATAAATAAATGGATGAATTGTATTTGCAATGTAAGAGAACGAGAAGTCATGGAGGACTCCAAGTTTTTCTGTCCTAATCAAGTAGGAAACAATGGAAACTCTTACTTAGGATAGCTTTATTCATAATATTAGCCATTCAAGTATGGGACATTTGAAATTCTTAATCTATCTCAAGTATATTTTTATTGGGGGGAAAAATGACATAAGCTTAAACCTAGATTACATATTTCAGTGAAACACAGTCTTACACTATTAAAATATACCACTCAAATAGACTTTATATATAAGAACATGATTTTTCAAATTGAAAGCTAATATAAGCTTTATGTGGTCAAACAGAATTTTTTTAGAGAAATAAAATTATTTAAATAATTTATTCTCTAATTTAGCCCATTTGAAAGGAAGAAATTCTGGATATTTCTTTCAGGGGTCATCTGTGTGTATTTTGAAAGCAAGGGAATTACACAGCACAACTTAAAACTAACGTTAAAAAAAAAAAAAGACTATGGTTTGATGTACCTGAAGAAAGACATTTTATATGTTTGGAACAAATCACTAATTGATGTAAAGAACTTGAATGAAATAGTTTAAAAAAAAAAAAAACCCTTAAAAATAAAACCAAACCATTAATTGTTTATTTTCCCTAATAAAGGTAAATAGGAGACCTTTTGGTACACTGGGTTAAGAGTCAGGCTGTTAACTGAAGGGTTGGCAGTTTGAATCTACTAGCTGCTTTGTTGGACAAAGATGTGGCAGTCTGCTGCTGTAAATATTTATAGCCTTGGAAACCCTGTGGGGAAGTTCTACGCTGTACTATAGGTCACTGTGAGTTGGAATTGATTTGACAGCAATGGGTTTGGGTTTTATAAAGGCAAATGAGTGGCTCAACTGCAAAGACTATTGCGTTTAATTTAGGTTTTGGAATGGGTGTTATTCTAATCCTCCAAATTTTGACTTTATAAATAAATCATTCTCTTCAGCAGTTTTGTGGAAGATTTAACTTCAAATAATAGAAAAGGGAACAAAAATAAACACTGATGTATTTTTTTTTTAACCAGAGTATGTTTTCTGTCCAATTTCATTTCTCTTCCTTATAAAAATGTACTGCCATTGAGTCAATTCCAAGGCTGTAAATCTTTACAGAAGCAGACTGTCTAGTCTTTCTGCCACAGAACAGCTGGTGGGCCCAAACTGCCAACCTTTTGGTTGGGAGCCCAATGCCTTAACCACAGCACAACCACAGCTCTCTTCCTTATAAAAATTCAACTGAAAATACCTTCTATAAATGAAGAGTCATGATTTTTATAAGTTCTCTTCTGAAGGAGCCAGAAGTCTGTCATTGTACATTATTTTCTCAGTATATTGACATGTATAAGAGCAGATAAGTGCCTAAAGCAACAGGGTTAAAGTAAAACAATTTGCTAAAAACTGAACAAACAACACTTGGTCATCACTCACATGTTTTAATTTCCTTACTAACAATAGTGAGATAAACTGGATGTACATCTGCATGCAAAGGGAATAAGTACTAAGTACTTCAAAGTAATCAAAACGTTAAAACATGCCTTCATTTCAACTCCAGATATTGCCAAGTTAATGACAGTAACTTTACTGAGGAAGGTTGACTTAAACTTGTTTTCCAAAATGATTTTTTAAATTAATTTTAAGTAATAAATGCAATCAATGTCTTCTGACAAGAAGAATATTAATATCGCCATAAAACCTAGAAGAGGGGGGAAAAACACTCTGATCACAATACTTCCATCTTCATCTAGCTAAACTACTAGAGTGCTGCTTACATTAATAATACTTTACAACTTTATCTATGTTCTTACATTTTTCCCTGATTTTAAATAGCTCCCATATTCATTGTGTCTAAGGCAGGGGTTCTCAACAAGGGTGATTTTATCCAAGGAACAAATGACAATGTTTGGAGACATTTTTGATCATCATTCCATCATAAAGTCAGAGATACACAAGACAGACTCCATCTTACAACAAAGAATTGCCTAGCTCACACTGCCCAAGTGCTGAGGCTGAGAAAACATGATCTAATGCAATTTATTTCCCAGAATTTATAGTCTGTTAGCTAGTTCCCAGCCACCGTATTCTCCTTTCCCTTTCTGGAATTTGTTTGGTCTATGACCAGTTAATACTTTTATACAAATTTACACACCAACCACTAAAACCAAAGATGAAGGAATTAAGACTTTTATCAACTTCTGCAGTCTGAAATTGACTAAATATGTAATAAAGGTATATTGGTAATTATTATTGATTAGAATGTGAAAGTTGGAAACAAAGAAGCAGCTTCAGTAGCTGGAAAATACGGCCTTGTTGACAGAAGTGACTCCAGAGATCACTTGAAAGAATTCTGCACAACCAACGTAAATAATGACTATATTATCTGGACATTGTCAGATTGAGTACATTGCTATCAAACTGACTACATCTGACGAAAGCTCAGTATCATCATTCAGAACAATGACTGTGGAACAGACCATTAATTCCTCATATGAAAGTTTAAGTGGAAGCTGAAGAAAATTAAAACAAGTCCATGAAAGCCAAAATATGACCACTAAATTTAGAGACCACTGAAATGTTTCAACAAATAGATGCAGCGCTGGAGGTGTTCACTGATTTATGCCAAGACAGCTAGTAGCCAAATGACTGGAAGAGATCCATATTTGTGCCCATTCCAAAGAAAGATGATCCAAAAGAATGTGGCAATTATCAAACATTATCATTAAAATCATATGCAAGTAAATTTTTGCTGACAATAATTTAAAAAAATGCTGCTATAGTACATTAATAGGGAATAGGCAAAAATTCAAGCAAGTTTCAAAAGAGTATGGAATGAGGGATATCACTGCTGATGTCAGATGGATCTTGGCTGAAAGCAAAGAATACCAGAGAGATGTTTACCTGTGCTTTATTTATTATGCAAAAGCATTTGACTGTGTGGATCATAACAAATGATGGGTAACGATCTAAATTCCAAAACCCTTAGTTGTGCTCATAAGGAACCTATACATAGACCAAGAGGGAGTTGTTCCATAAGGACGAGGGAATACTGGATGGTTTAAAATCAGGAAACTTGTGTCAGGGTTGTATCCTTTCACCATATATATTTAATCTGTATGCTGAGCAAATAATCCCAGAAGCTGGACCGTATGAAGAAGAATGCAGCACCAGGACTGGAGAGACTCATTAACAACCTGAGATATGCAGGTGACACAACTTCACTTGTTAAAAGTGAAGAAGATGTGAAGCACAGTATGGGTCCTTCAACATAAAAATGTTCGCAACTGGACCAATAAGCAACATTATAATAAATGGAGAAAAGACTGAAGTTGTCAAGGATTTAATTTTACTTGGATCCACAATCAATGCCTATAGAAGCAGCAGTCAAGAAATCAAGCAACATATCGTACTGGGCAAATCTGGTGCAAGAGAATTCTTTAAAATGTTTAAGAGCAAAGTTGTCACTTCGAAGACTAAGGACTGCTTTACACAAGCCATTGTATTTTCAATAGCCTCATATGCATGTGAGAGCTGGAAAATGAATAAGGAAGATTAAAGAAGAGTTGATGTATTTGAACTGTGGTGTTGGTGAAGAATATGGAATGTACCATGGACTGCTAGAAGAACAAACAGATCTGTCTTGGAGGAAACACAACCTCAATGCCCCTTAGAATAGAATAGGCAGACTTTGTCTTTAATACTTTGGCCATGTTGTCAGATATTGTTCCAAGAGAACAATATCATGCTGGGTAAAGTAGAGGGTCAGCAAAAAATGGGAAGACTCTCAATGAGATGGATTGGTAGAGTGTCTGGGACTAGGGGCTCATGCATGGCAATGACTATGAGGATGGTGCAGGACTAGGAAGTATTTCATTCTGTTGAACACAGAGTCACCATGAGTAGAAATGAACCTGACAGTACCTAACAACAACAATGTAATGAATAAAAATCTATTTTATTTTAGTCACAGATTATTGATGATTCACCAACCATGGCTAAAAATTATACTCCTGTACACTGTCCTCAGCAAAAGATAAACTGTACATTTTCCTTCACAATTCTTAATTTTGGTGGTAATTACACAGTAAATTAATTTACCAAACTGGTCTCTGCTGGTGTAATGCCTAAGGCATTTGACTGCTAATCAGAAGGCTAGTGGTTCAAATCCATTAGCCACTCCTTGGAAGGAAGGTTGGGCAATATACTTATATAGTGATACTGCCTTGGAAACCCAAGGAGGGGTTGCTGTGAGTCGGATCTGACTTGACAGTGGTGAGTTTGGTTTTGGTTTATAGAACTATCTACTTAAATTTGTACTCCCATAAAGTTGAACATAAAAAAGTAAATGAGGACAAGCTAAAACATTACAAACGTTTAGTTTAAGGGAAGAGATTTTTCTTCTGATAAAGAAAGCATTTGTAAATTTTTCCAAATACCTTGGGTTGCAGGTTTTGCTGGAGTTGAGGATGAACTAAGTAGTGGATCTAAGGAAGGTTCCAAGAAATTTGCATTCATGTTTGTTTTACATGAAAGTTGAGCTGTATCTTCTGATAGATTATCTAAACTCAGCTTGTAATGTCTACTTGTATCTAGAAGATCTTTTCCAAAGAAAGCTTCCTAATAAACACATATGAAATTACTGTTGTCATAATTTTTTCCAAAAAAACAGAAACAGCAGAAAAGCTTTCTACTTAACAATAATGATTATTAATGAATACAGAAATATCCTGTCAGTTATTTTACACAGATAGGTTTACCTTATTTCAAAAGTAATAACATTTTTTGTAGCTTTTCGAAAGACAAAATTATGCAAATATAACCACACGATTATGTCAAATGTGTTTCTACCAACTGTTGTATAAATAATTCAAGAACATCAAGAGATTAAGCTACAGTGAAATTTAAAATTATTAGATGTACAATTATTACTGGTACTTAATTCATATTATAAGCAAAACTAAAGTTCCATGAAACTAGTATTTATAGATTACTTGCAGAGAACACCACAAGGGTTTGATCTACAGCTTTAATATTTATATATCTCAGGTAAATTTAGTAATCTCATATTGATTCATATAACCATTCTGAAGAATTCATGTCACGTAAATCTGAAATAGGGTTTTTTAATAAGTCATTTTAATTATACTATAGGTGCAACATTTACTGCTATTGAAAGCTTTGGCTTTTTATTTATTTATTATACTAAGACTTCTCCACTTCAGAGTATCTTCTCTATTCCAAAGACGAATGATTTCAAGTTAAGTTTCCTTCAACTCCAGGACCTCTCTAAAACTTCCCAAGAATCATCACAAAAGACAAAAATGAAACATTTGGGACCCATTTACTTACTTCAACTGAGCAACTCTGTGTTAATCTGTTTTTCATAGCATGGTCTATCTGGAAAATGTCTCTTTGCAGAGATAAAATTTTGCAATACTATCAACATTCCACTCACTCTTACCAAAGATACATATTGTAGATATTTTTTTAAACCACTAAAATGTGAAAAGAGCCTTAATGTTCACCAATAGGCATCTGAACTAAATAGAGACACCCATACTAGAAAATACAGTAATTTTTTAAAGAATATAGAGCTATACTGTCAAAGAAAAGGTCTAAAATATAGTAGTATCCAAAGAAAGTAAATTGAGCAGTTATGTCCAGAAAAGAGAGGGAAGGAGAAAGGAAACACACCAGACAAGATGATGGTATATTTGATTTAAAATATTCATGTTTTGAAAAAACTGTGATAAAAATACGTGCAACAAAGCATCTACCAATTAAATAATTTTAAAAATGCATTTTATTGAAATATAATTTATGTACAGTGAAATACACAAAACTAAAGTATGTTGTTGTTGTTATGTGCCGTCGAGTCGGACCTGACTCATAGTGACCCTTCCTTGGGTTGCCAAGGCAGTTATCACTATGGAAGTAGATTGCCCAACCTTCCTTCTGAGGAGTGGCTGGTGGATTTGAACCGCTAGCCTTCTGGTTAGCAATCAAGTGCCTTAGGCACTATGCTACCAGAGCTCCAAACTAAAGTATATATAAGATATACACCTAGTAATGAGACTGTGCTGGGTCTAGTGGTATCTCCAATTCCAGCTTTCTAAAGAATTGCCATATTGATGTCCACAGTGGTTGTATCACTTCACAGTCCCACCAGCAGTGTATGAGAGTCCCCATCTCTACATATCCTTGCCAGCATTTGTTATTTTCTGTCTTGATGAACCCTGCCATCAGTGCTGGGGTGAGACGGTATCTCACTGTTGTTTTGATTTGCATCTCTCTGATGGCCAATGATTGTGAGCATCCCTTCCTGTATTAGTTGGCCAATATCCTCCTTGGTGAAGTGTCTATTCATGTCTTCTGCCCATTTTTCAATTGGATTGTTAATTCCTTTGGTGTTGAAGCATTGGAGTTTTCTATAAATCTTGGAGATAAGACTCTTGCTAGATATGTAATTATTGGCAAATGTGATTTTGTTGCTGTCATTTTTGTTATGTGCTTTTTCGTGGTGCCAATTTTTTTGTTCCATTTAATTTTCTATGCTGAGCTCACTTTATGAATCATGTTATCACTTCCTTTGCTGCTATTGTTTAGTATTTGCTAAATATTTGTATTGGTCCTCTTTTTTATTTTGATGTGAAGGTTTATCATTTTTCTTTGAGGTTACCCTATGATTTATAGCTTTCTTCCCAAGTGTAGAACAGTCCGTTCAATCTTGTAGTTGTCTTGAGATCCCCACCATCTAGAAGTTCTGTAATGACACAGTTTTTTCCCTCTTTTTGGTTTGTAGTTGTCCTCATTTGTCAATAGATGTCTCTGGTTCTCTGTTTACAATCTTGTAGGCTTATTTACTTATAATCCCTCCACAGCTGGATTGGTTTCTGGGTTATATCATCATGTGTGTTAATGGTCAGTTGTTGTTGGCTGTTGTTGCTTCTCTGTCCAAAGGGGTCCCTTTAGCATCTCTTCTAAGGTTGGTCTGGTTTTAACAAATTGCCTTAATTTCTGCTTATCTGGAAATTTCCTAATTTCACCATCATATTCAGGGTTTTATATATACCATCCCATTGTCTTCTTGCTTGCCTGGTTTCTGTTGAGAAATCCAAGCTTAGTCTTATTGGTTGCCCCTTGCAGGTAATTTTTTGTTTTTCCCATGCTGCTCTCATGATTCTTTGTCTTTGGTTTTGGTAAGTTTGATGATGATATGTCTTGGTGATTTTCTTTTGGGGTCTATCCTGTTTGAGGTTCATTGGACTTCCTGAATGGATATATTCTCATCTTTCATCATATCAGGGAAATTCTCTTCCAACAAATCTTGGACAATTTTCTCAGTGGTTTTA